AAAAAAAAAAAAAAAACCCCACAAGCACACAGGAAGTAAAAACTGGTCGTGATGGTGATGAGTTAACAGGTTAATTATACTGTTCTACTTCTGTGTTATGTATGTCTTTAAATTTCCAAAGTAATGTTTTCTTTTTAAAAAATGAATCAGCTCCAATTTAAATCTTACCAAGTCATCTTCTGATAAGTAACTCCCCTTAAAAAGGCTTTAAAGACAAAATACATTTACCATTGACAACTTTTTGGTCTGCACGGTAGAAATGTCTGTCTTCTAACAAATAGGCCTCTATATTGAATTCTTATAAGAATCAGTTCCTCTTGAGCTAGATCAATTTTAAGTGTAAATGGTATGAAACCCAACTTTGAGATATACGTAAGTAAGGCCAGACGTTAGTAATGGATGCCCTAACAGGTCAGGTTCCCCCTCAAACCATAGGTAACTTCAATAGTCATCAACAGATTTAAGTGTCCACAGAGGAAGCCTTTTCCCATGAGCTCAATCACTATATTTCATTTAAATTAGCTACTATTTCTAGATGAAGACGATCAGAACACATTTGGCATTTTAATACCTTAGATTTCTTAACTGTTTATCTTAATATTTAATAACAAAATATGATAAATTACCACTCCAAGTCCTTTACTGCTATAACCATAATCTTGTCAAGCTATACAAAGCAGAGATTAGGAGCTGGCTGCCTTGGCATTTGTTATATTTTGTTTCTCATGTTATCTTAATCCTCAAAGATCATCTCTCATAGATTTGGAGATAACCCACTCATCTATTCCTATATTTCCACCATCAGCTAGCAAGTCAGAAGAGCTCTGTCCCCATAGTATTTTCTCATACAGAGCCCCTAAGGTGGTGGCTTCATTATTTTTTAAAGTTTGCTGAAGGATATTTTAGAAAATTCTGTAACATTCCATCATGCCTGTTAGAAGGAACACAGTGGCATAAGTCAGGCACTGGACCACGAGGCAGAGGACCTGAGTCCCATGTCTTAGCATGCCATCAACATGAAAGTACA